CCTACAAAAAAAAAAAAAAAAAACAGAGTATTGCAGGCAGAGGAAAGAACACTTGCAAAGGCCCTGGAGTTGGAAAGAGTGGAAAGAGCTCACCATGTACATTTTATGATGTGAGTAGGTGAAAGGAGGCCGTGCTTGATTGGCAGAGGTTGTGATATCAGAACTTGGGCACGTAGACATTCTGAAGGGGTGTAGTATTCTTCCTCGGAGGACCTCAGTACTCCAGCTTCGATACAGAAATCCCCTTGCGAGTGGTTCTGTGTGGCATCCCTAAAGTTGGATTCTGACAAGGGCCAGACATTTCTGTGCCCTGAGAGAAGGACCTCAGCTTGGTGGATCTTCCAGCACAGGCCCCATTGACTAACCCAGCCTTTGGTTCCCTGCTGGGAAGCGTCAAGCGTGGAGACAGTTACGGAAACTAGGAAGCCCTTTTTCATGTTTGCCTAGTGATGAGAGGAAGAGATGAGATTGTTGCTTTTTCATATCTCTCCCGTGGACTCTTAAAATTAACTTCACTGTCAAAATTTCCCATGGCCCAAATGTAGGTTTGGGGAGAGAAACATAAGACTTTGAAGTTGAGAAAGAAAGTAGAGAAAGCCTTCTCTAGACAAATGCTCACCCTGCAGATGTCAGACTCTGTGAGGAGACAAGTAAAAAGGCACTCGGGGAACCGAGTGCAAAGAGTGGAAAGAGCTCACCATGTACATTTTATGATGTGAGTAGGCGAAAGGAGGCTGTGCTTCCTTTTAGAGAGAAAAGGAAGAACTGGGAGTAGAGATGGCTACTTCAGCTCGGGAAAAGAATAAATAAAACAATACAAGGTAGTGTTAAAGCTTTGAAAGGAATTTTTTCATTTAGGAGAGATTATGAATAATGAAATGCAAACACTCTAGTTAATATGTCTGTTCGCTGGTTTCTGTCGCCTTCTGGAAAACGAGTGATACGTTCTAAGAGGAGCCGCTTTGCAAGTTACCCCACTTGACCCTCGTTAGGGTGAGCTCTGAGTCTGTACCCAGATTCCTTTACCAAACACTGGTTATTAGACACTGGATGCAAAGCCGTATTTATTCCAAGGCCAGAAACTTCCTAAGCCTCTGCCTAACTCTTCACAAATGAACCTGACAACACTGAAATTTCTAAGGAGATTTACTTCCAGCTGTAGCAAATCCCTCATAATAAAAAATTTCCCCAAATGAGTCAGTCACACAGGAGGTAAATGAGACATTCTATGAAGTCAGCATGCCATTTGGAGTGTGCCCTTTATGTAAAAGGCCCAGCCAGAAGACCATGTGGTTAAGTGGAGCTTGTCCACAGGGCAGAACCAGAACACCGGAGGGGGGAGGCTGTCAGCTGCCGGATTGTAACTCCGTGTCGCTTCCCCTCAAGCAAATCTTGTAGGAAAATCTAGTTTTTCAAAGAAGTTCAAGTAAGGTTTGCTGATTATTTCCTTCACGAAAGGATTCACCCGAGGGGTCCTTTAACCAACAAGCTCAGAGAAAAACTTTATAGTATTACTGGATTGTATGAAACTTTTTCAAAAATGCATCCCTTCTGTGTGTGTATGTGTAGCTATGTAAGCAGGTATTTGGTGCAGGCAGCATTACAAGAAGGGATTTGGGGCGGTCTATATCCGTTGAGTAAATTGAGGCAAGCTTGCAACAGTGGCATTTGTTGGGCAGCCCTGCTTCATTGCTGATTCTGTTAATCTCCTAAATGACTCCATGGGTGATTAGGCAACCAGATAAACCCTCTCACTTCTGAGGAACAAGCCCGTGGGACGTCAGGGCCTCTCTTTGTCTTTCCTAGAGAAATTGGCAACACGAAGGCTGGAACTACCTGGTGGTCCTTTTTAAAAAAAGTTTAAAAAAGTATTTATTGAGCGTGGGTCACGTCCCTGGCACTGTTCTGGGTGTCCTGACCTACTTTGTCTCACTTAGTCCTCACTCCAGGTCTGTGACATGGACGATGATGATGGTGATGATGATGAACTTACTTCTACATCTGCTAACTCATCAGAGCTGGATTCTTTTACAAAGAAGAAAGTAAAAATCACCGATTATCCCACCACCCATGTGTCTTGCCATTGTTAATATTTTAGTAGATAGTCTTTCAGATGTCCTCTGTTTGTTTATGTAAGAAAATGTATGTATACCTTTTAAAACATACTTTTTAAAAATCTCCTTTTTAAAAAGTTAACAGTATAGCATGACCATTTTTCCATAAAAATAAAAAAATCTAGACCTGCAGACTATTGATTGTAGCAATAGAGTATTCCATTTTATAAATATCCCAACTGGATTTACCCTCCCTCTAGGCTGGGCTTTGAAACTATTTATAAGCAAAATATCCTCCCACTTTTTATATTTTTTCAAAATATATGCACAAAGATGCATATGCATCTTTGCACAATTGTCTGATTATTTTCTTAGCAAAAATTCCTAGCAGTAGGATTGCTGGATTAATGGCTATGTACATATTAAGTTTTGTTGCATTTCGCCAAAATGCCTTCCAAAATGTTTGAACAGATTTCCATTCCTGCTGATACTGCCCCTCTGCTCATTCGTTCCATCTCTTAGACAGGGTCGCTTCTCTCTGTGACTCAGCCTCCTCGCTTTTGAAATGGGTGTGAGAATACAACAAATCACAGTTTTAGTACACACTGAGTACCAGACTATGTACTAACACTTTATGTAGATTAGATTTTGTTATTTAAGTCTCACCCCCAACCCTAGGAGAAGATTGGAATATCTCTACTTTATTCTTCCCGCCACCCCCATTTCTGAGGCTCAGAAAGGTTCAGTAACTTGCCTGAGGTCACCCAGCTAAAAAGTGGCCAAGCTGGGGTACAAGCCCAGCTCTGCCTGCTTCTGGGACTGGGACTCTTGCGCCCAGGGCCCTGCATTTCTTAGTCCAGATGAGTTGTCTGATTAACGAACATGGGTGGCAGAGCCTCTCAAACTTCGTGCGCATTGCCAGGGCATGACCATTGCTCACAGGAATGTGTCTGTCCAGCAGAGTTTGCCTCAGTGTGAAAGTAGCAAGGAAGGGTTTTAAAGAAGATTTGGGGAGTTTCCCCTGAGAACTAAGCATCTTTTCACTTTTGTTTTGGAAATGAGAAAGCACGTTTTCAAAGTCAGCACCATCTCCCACGCTGAAATCACAGACCTAAACAGATTCCCTGACGTTCACAGCCTTCTCAATCTGTGACCATCTCTCCATTTCTCCCTGGGGGGTGAAACTGCCTTTTTGACTTCTCCAAATTCTAAGGAGCTTCAGCGGTTCTTTTTACAGTGTGGGAGTCCAGCCCTGTGGGGTCTAAGAATGAGTTAATCCTGGTGCACTCCTTCTTATACTTCCTTGGCTAAGTGACATGGCTCCTGGGGCTGAAGTGAGGCCTCGGGCCTCCCCAGCTCACACCAGCCCCTCCTGCCGGCATCCTGCAACCTCAGATCCCTGCGTGTGACAGGAACCATTGGCAGGCACATCCCAGAGAAGGGTACATTCCTAGCCCTCTCTTACCCGCAAGGAAGAGATTTCTTAAGTGTTGCTTTAACAGGTTGATGCAAAATATACAAACAGAAAGGGACGGAGAGGGAGATGGATGGTTTTCAGTAAATGATGGTGCGTCGGCCAGCAGTTGGAAGGGATCTGGTGGGGAGGAAGTTTCCCACCTCAGCAGTTGTGACAGGAGTATTAACTGGGATCCCGGAAAGCAAGCACAAACACACCACAGTGAGGACTGCCAGAGCACATACCGGGGCTGGAAAATGTGTGTCTGTCAAGATAAAATGGTACATTACGTTTGCACTGTCCCATGGACCAAGCTAAGGGCCTCTGAGGTGCTTTCTCCCCAGCCCTGGCCAGTAACAAGTACAGGCTTCAGGAGGGCAGCCTGCCCTGCCTCTCACTGAGCTAATAGTTGTGTGCACGTAGACGCTGGGCCCCTCAAGACTTACCCCTGCTTTTAGAGAAAGGTTTTTATTACCTTATCTAATATGAGGCTGATTTCTTTTAAGAACACATGTTGACTAGAGGCTGCTGATGTGAACCTCACACTTCAGGAGGTCAGCGCCCCACGGTGGGGAGTCTTTGTCACTAACAATTAAAGAAGGGATGGCCCAGGGGATAATTGAAACAGGGGGCTGGAGGGAGATGGGGAAATAAACAAATATCTCTGAAACATCCCCGGTGTGCCTGGCACAGTGCCTAGCCCCTTACATACATTTTTTTTGCATTCCACCTCTTTCCCAGCCTTGTAGAGTGGATTTTATTTTATTATTTTATTTTTTTTGAGATGGAGTCTCGCTCTGTCATCCAGGCTGCAGTGCAGTGGCACTATCTCAGCTCACTGCAACCTCCACCTCCCAGGTTCAAGCAAATCTCCTGCCTCGGCCTCCCTAGGAGCTTGAACTATAGGCTCACACCACCATGCCCAGCTTATTTTTGTATTTTTAGTAGAGACGGGGTTTCAACATGTCGGCCAGGCTAGTCTCGAACTCCTGACCTCAGAGGGTCCACCCTCCTTGGCCTCCCAGAGTGCTGGGATTACAAGCATGAGCCACCTTGCCCAGCCCCATTTTTATCCTCATCTTACAGATGAAGAAATTGATGCTCAAAGGGATTCAGCTACTTGCAATGTCACAGAGCTAAGAAGGTGAGACTAAGATTCTGAGAGAGCATAATGGAAATAAAAATGGTGCTATTGATGGAATAAAAAAGTGTGTTTTGTGATATTTGATAGAATGATGCTACTGCTCTTACGTGGGCAAGAGATAAGGCCTTCCAGCCATGTGCTTATTCACTCTGTGGCTTTCACCCAGCACAACAACTTCCAGTATCTCTGTTTGCCAGTCTGTACAAGCAGACATAAGTGCCCTTCCCTTACCATCTGAAACACCTGAACGTCTGTAACTGAATAGAGGGACATAAGGGGGAGCAACCCAGTGGTCCTTCTCATGTCCTTCGAGTGATCTCTTCTTGTCTGTGCCATCCCTACCCAGGTATGACTTTATCGAGATTCGGGATGGGGATAGCGAATCCGCAGACCTCCTGGGCAAACACTGTGGGAACATCGCCCCACCCACCATCATCTCCTCGGGCTCCATGCTCTACATCAAGTTCACCTCTGACTACGCCCGGCAGGGGGCAGGCTTCTCTCTGCGCTATGAGATCTTCAAGACAGGTCAGTGTGGTCACACATAGGGGCCGGGAGATGGGTGTCTTAGAGAAGAAGGAGGGACAGCACCCAATGGGCCGAGGCAGTGTGTAAGGGTGCCAGTGTCATCCAGCTTGAACATGGTGAGAGGTTCAAGGGGAACCCAGGGACATCCTGAGAAGAAGAGCCAGCTCAGGTAATCTACCAGCTGAAGCGGGCTGGCTAGAGCTGTGATGGGAGCGGAGCACAGCAGCCCTTGTCTGTGGTATTGGCACCAGACAAATAGAAAACCATTTCTTGAAAGCATCTGATTTTTGTGTGTTTTTTTAAAAGCAAAATAATCTTCATGGGAAAAAGCAAAACTCTGATGACTTCCTCACCATTACTGCATGGTCTAATGTTGCCTTTATTTGGGACTACATGGAGCTGAGGACAGAATCTTTTTGTTGTTTAGAGTCTCTAAATGTCTTGCCATGACCTCCCAGATGGGGTCACACCATAGCTTTTCAATTAAAATAAGGCTCCTAGAAATTCCCCTTGGCAGTCCATGTTACCACCTCTCCATTGAACCCCTACTCTCTAAATGCCAATGAACTTGACTCCCTGAAAAGCAGTCAAAAAGAGAGCAGAAAAAGAGGCAGAAGGCACTGCACTTGCTTTAGGTTGACGGATTTCCATCAGGTCCCCCTTAGATTACTTTAGGCCCTGAGACTATGGGCCAGCACTCATTTCCAAAACTAAATACAGTAGGCTTTTATTCGCAAGACCCTACTTCATCAGCTACACTCAAGCTCTCCTGGTGGTATGTCCTCTTCTGTGATGTGTAGAGCTTGTTATTTTGAGGCTGAGGGAAGCACGTCTTCCAGTCCTCCCCACCCGCCGCCCACTCCCCTCCTCAGAGGCTCCCCTTCCATCTATGCGTGTGTCTCCCTTCTCCCTTCAGCAGCCCAAGTTTTACAACTCGTGGATGGAGTCTGGTTCAAGGGGAGGCTGTCAGCCTTGTCATCAAGAGGCCCAAGACCGGCGCCTGTTGAGTTCAGTGTGAGGGGAGCTATTCATATATCTTTTCGTTTTCACTAAACAGTTCTTGAAAGGAAGTGGTAGCCGCTGAAAGCACTTTTTATATCCACTCTGTCTAAATATTTGTCGGATCTGTCTGCCCGAGAACAAGAACGTGGAATCAAATGGAGGGGTGGGGCCAAGGGCACTGTGTCGGGCAAGAGTGGCAGCCCAGGCTGTTGCAGGGCACGGGTCCCAAGAAGGTCTGTCTGCCTTGGGTTTTCATGCTCCTGACTACGACGAGGTCATAAGGGCTGACAATCTGTGTGTCCAGTGGCTTAAGCTGTTGTGAGGCCCCTGAGTAGCTTGATCCATATTCCCCTGAGTCTGGTGCAAAATTCAGATCACTGCCACCAGCACCGGTGGATCATCCTCTGCTGCTGAGCAGTGGGGAGAATAAAAGAGAAAGAAAGAAAACAGGCTGCTTGCTGTGTTCGGGTTGGAGAGGCAAGTGTGGCAAACCCTTAGCACATAACCAATATATAGGCGATGTTATTGGATGAGTATGTATGTAACCTGAAAGGAAAACTATGATATGAGGCAGAATGAATAAGTGCAAAGTCAAGGTACGATTGGCACGTGGCGGTTATGAAAAGAGGGAGAGTCGAGTGGCTTAGCAATCAAGGGGCTCCAGAGACTCTGTTCAATGGCAAGGTCCCTAGTGCTAATGCTGCCACTTGGCTGCCCTATGCTGACCATGAAAGGAAGACAGCTCCAGGCAGAATCTTCCAGGACACTGGCCAAGGGAAGTCAAAACAAGGGTGAGCAGAGCTGTGAAAGCTCAGCCTTGGTCTCACACCACCCAACTTAGTATTTCATAAGACATAATGCTACATTCTCCAGAATGCCACAGGACAAGTCAATGTTCACTCTATCCATCATGCACATTTGAAAAGAGGATATTAAAAGATAAAACACATAAGAGGGTGTCGTAATTCAGTGTTGCTGTCTTGAGGACATGCTGAAGCAGGATCTCAAATGAAGCGGCAAGTCTGTGAACCGCTTAGAAACAATGGTGACAGCCAAGGGAGCTAGGTGGCTTCGGCTTGGAGAAATGGAGTAGCCTGCTCTAAGGATTGGGGTTGCCTAGTGAAGAGATTGTGAGACACAGCCTTGCCAACAACAGCCACACTCCTGGCAATGTGCGAGAGCAAATGAGAGCACAGCAGCCTTCTCAGGGCCACTTGAACCTATCCGCAGACCCACCTGCTGCTGGAAGAGCAACTCTCCGCGTGAAAGTCAATCTTACATATGCCAGATGTGGTGGCTCAGACCTGTAATCCCAGCACTTTGGGAGGCTGAGGCAGGTGGATCACCTGAGGTCAGGAGTTTGAGACCAGCCTAGCCAACATGGCAAAACCCTATCTCTACTAAAAATACAAAAATTAGCCAGGTGTGGTGGGACGCACCTGTAATCCCAGCTACTTGGGAGGCTGAGGCAGAGGAATCGCTTGAACCCAGGAGGCAGAGGTTGCAATGAACCAAGATCATGCCATCGCACACTAGCCTGGGCAACGAGAGTGAAACTCAGTTAAAAAAAAAAAAAGGCTTATAGAAAGCACAGAAATGTGCAAGGGTGCCAAATTCAAAACAGAGAAGTTTAGAAAAATGAGCATTCATGCAGGTGCCATGTCCTATACCCATATTTCCATTGTTGGAGTCAGGAGAGAAAATATACAAAGTTTACGTCATCTACAGAACATGAAAGAAATGGGTGGACATGCTGAAGAAATCCAAACACAGCTATGTTTGCTAGTGGGATTCATACAGAGGAAGAAGCGGGGGAAACTGTAAACACAGATACACTGCTAGTAGCCATACAGAGGTCTCTAGAAACCTTCAGTGGCACAATACCCTGGTGAGGCTCTGCTGCAGGACCCACAGTGTGAGTGCAGACCAGGACATGTGGCTGGCGTGGAAGGTTCATGTCTGCCCTAAGTGAAGTGGCATATTAAAGATTCTATATGTTACCAGACTGTCTGCATTTAAAAGGGTAAGCCAGAACAACTCACAAACTTAAAAGATCCCAAATCAAGATATCCTGAGCAGAACAGAAAAAGGAAAAAAAAAATTTAACATAAAATGTCACATTGAAAACAAAATCAATGGAAAATGTGTGTGTGTTTGAGTTTTTTCCTGAAGCTCCTTTAACCATAAGTTCAAGATCAGGTTTACTTTCCTGTTTGCCCGTGACACTTTAGAAACTGAAATTTCTGGGTCATTCACAGAGGTAGAGAAAACCCTGAGTGCGTACTGCCTCTACTTCCTGAATTTAGGAACTGAATTCACCTTCTGTGGGGAAGGCAAACTCAGCTCCAGGCAAATCCATTATGTTTTAAATGTCTTGATACCTGCAGATTCTTCTACTTGCAGAGTTATTGTAAAATTCACAGCAGGAAAACAGAGTGGGCATTTTTCGTAGCAGAGTCCTTTCGTATGAAATCATTCACCGCAACTCAAATCCCCCAGCTTCTGCGGACAATCTTAGCACTGAGTGGGCTTGCATATTTGTTGACTTGAGTTCTTCTTTTAACCTTTAAACCTTCTAACACATCTCAGAAAAGGATTTTGGATTAGGCAGATGTCTGCAAGAGCCAGCTTCTGCCCCCTTTTCTGAGATCTCTTCTCCGCACTTGCCATCCAGCTGCGTTTGTAATGCTGCCAACAGTGAGATGGTGCGATTAGAGATGAATGCATGATGTTAGGAGACAGGTTTGATTTTTCTGCATAAAAATAGATAAAACTGGACAAAAGTTTTCCCACCTCCTTCAAAATAAGCCATAGGATATACCCATTTATAGCCATATATCAGAAATGCTTTTTTTTTTTTTTTTGCTTTAAGTACCTAAGGATGAAATTTTCTTTTCAGTCAGATGCAGAAGCTCAGGACCCGGGAACTATGGGTACTTTAGAATTTCACATTCTCCAGGCCTCTCTTAGACTCACTAGATGGCCATCGTGGAAGCACTCATGCCCCACCAATGACAGGGACCAAAGAAAGATTCCACCAGAAAATTCCCCACTCCCAGGGGGTGGAGATTTCCCTTGCCTTCAAAGGGAATGACAATAGAGCAGGCTCTAAGACAGCATGTCAGGAGGCTCTTTCTAGCTCTCAAGCAAGAAGTGAATAGAGAGTTAATTTCCTCCCAACTATGTGTGAGGCTCAGCTGAGTGGCCCACATGAAGAATGCTGCACAGCAGCCATAAACTCTAACCTTTTCAAAATTCCTCTTGGCCCCCTGAAGACCTGCCAGCTGGCTTGGCTTTGCTGAATTGCCTCATCCCGGGCCATTGAGGAGGCCCTCAGGAGTCTGAAGCCCAATCGTAAACAAAGCTGGGGGAGGCGGCCCCAGCTCATCCCTCCAGGACTAGCTGCCCATTGAAAACTCTGGGCCTGCCCTGCTGCTGCCATGCATATGAATGATGGGGTGCAGAGCCTCTGAGAGCGGCTGCTTAGAGCCTCCACAGAACCCATGCAAATGTTAGCCCTTACCCTCATGTGTTCCTAGTTCCTACCCTGTCAAGGCACAGCACAAGGTGGAAAGTAGGAAGTGATGGATGGATAGGTAGGAGATAGCGGAATTTTCTGTCTGGTGCTAAAGAAAGTTGCAAGTTCTCCATCCCCACTTATTTGCATGGCACTTCTTCCAAATCAGACATTTGCCTCTTTTCAGAAAGCTGTCATCAATAAAGAGACTCAAAGAGAGGCCTCCTCCAATGTGGATAAAGACATTGCTGCAGGCTAAGATCAGTGTATTGACATCACCTAGTTATATTTCAGTGTGAACCCCAGAGGACACTTCCTGCCAGTAAACACCTAGTTTATCGATTATTTCTTGTTTTTTTTTTTTTGTTTTCTTTTTAATGCTTAGAATGTCTATTATCCTCCTCAAACATCCTGCCTCCTTTTCTAATTTTAAAATCAGAACATAATGAGTGAAATCAATTCTAATTGTCCAGCATTTTCATTCATTGCGTGAACGTGTATGAGCTCGTGCTCCGTGGGTCCATGGGTCTGGGTTGCAGTGCTCCTGGGAGCCATCTGTGGTGCTGCCCTGGCAAATGGTGGCTGGGTTAAAGCACAAGAGCCCTTTTAATATGACTCCACCTATAGGCATTAAGAGATAGGGTGGCTGTAATCCTCTTAGGAGCTCCTGCTCCTGCTTCTGCTGCCATCCAAGCTTGCACCAGGATGCAAATGTGTGCCGCATTTAATCAGGATCCTTCCATGCGTCCCAAGAAAGCAGACACAAGAGCTCAGGAGAAAAATAAGGCCATCCACACCACAAAGGAGCCAGAAGCCTTCCAAATGTCAATGCACTGCTGCATTTTTCCAAACTTGTTGCCGGAGCGGCCTTTAACATCCCCAACGGCCTGCTGTGATCCACCAGCTAAAAACGTCGATTGTTAATTGTCCGACCACTACAGAGCAGCTCGTTTTAATACAGTCATGACATGAATGAGACCCAAGCTCCCCTTTGCCCCTCCCCTGAGGCACCTTGGATCTTGGAAGGAGAAGGGGGCACTTGGTTGGCTGTGGGACAATAGGGGCTAGTGTTGAGGTCAGCAATAAATAAGGGGTAACATTGTTTTCCCTGCTGGCAATCAGCAAGCCTTCCTTAAGGATTGAAATAACTTACATTTCTGGAGCGAGCAGCTGAGTAATTGAGAAAGAAGACTCTGTTCCTCTTTTCAAGAGAATCCTCCCCCCTTTTCTCTCTCTCTCACACACTCACACACACACATACACACTTCTCTCTACTCTAACCCCACCCCCCAATTCCTCAATTGCTGCTCTCACTCTCATATGTAGAGCAAGCCAGCTGTGCCTCCCTAATTTCTGAGGGCTTGAAACGTGCCTGTGAAGAGTATATTGCTTCAAGGACCACTCCAGAGGCAACAAAAAGAGGTCCTCAAGAGTTTGGGCCCAAATATTTAAATAACCTATGTGACAGAGGCTGCTAGGAAAGGCGTCTTCTTCTTAGTGCTACAGTTCTCTTTTACATACAGGCTCTGAAGATTGCTCAAAAAACTTCACAAGCCCCAACGGGACCATCGAATCCCCTGGGTTTCCTGACAAGTATCCACACAACGTGGACTGCACCTTTACCATCCTGGCCAAACCCAAGATGGAGATCATCCTGCAGTTCCTGCTCTTTGACCTGGAGCATGACCCTTTGCAGGTGGGAGAGGGGGACTGCAAGTACGACTGGCTGGACATCTGGGATGGCATTCCACATGGTGAGTGATGTCATGAGGCATTCCTCAGTAGCTTGGCCTTTGCCTGTTAATTGCTTTAGTGATGATAAAGAGGAAGAACAAAGACTTCAAAGCTCCTGTGAGTTCTTACATGACCCATGACGACTTTCTCTTCTCCTTCACCAAGGCTGGCTTGAGAGAAATTACATGAAGGCAGTCTACTTTCCTGGAAATATTTCTTTAGAAAAGGATAGGAGACTAAATAGCTACTTGGAAAGGATGAGAACACTTACAGATAGTGTTCATTTCTACTCCAAGTTGTCAGGCTAGAAAGCTGCTCAGTGGCTAACCCTTGTGACCAAACAGAAGGACTCTAGAGCCAGACTGGCTGGGCTCTGCTATTCACCAGCTGTGCAACCTTGGACAAGTTACTTACCTTATCTATGTCTCACCTGTATAAAGTTAGCTGCTGTCATCATCATTATTACTACCATAATTTAAAAATTATTAATATAGTCATAGATATTGAAAAGGTACATCGCCCAAGGCCAAGAACAACCAGTCCTTCTCAGATGAAGACCAACATAGATCTTGGGTCTAATCAGTATTGGAGAGGAATAAACCTTTCACTTTTGTAGTCACTTTAAGTATTTTCCAGCATAAAGGAGACCTGATGCCTAAACAATAAGAGCAATTTTATTTCCTGGTTAAAGCATACGACTGAGTCAGAAAACTTGGGTTGGAAGCCCAGCTCTGCTATTTCCTAGCAGTATGAATAAGGAAATCTCATGAGCTCTCCAAACTTGTTACTTCCTCCATAGAACAGACATTGTAATGATACCTTTCCAGCTCATCTTCCAGGGCACTGAGAACAGAACGAAGCCAGTGACAGCGGCCTGTACCTTTTTAATTAAAAAGTGAAAGTGCTTTTTAATGTGCAAGAAAGATATTAGCCATTATTCTTAAAACATATCTTTGGTTTTTATGGCAAGGTGTACAAGTGATGGGCCACTGAATAACACACGATGATGGGAAGGGAAAATAGAGGGAAAACCAAGTTTGACATTTTCATTTCCACTGACTTCTCTTTGTCTTGAATGTCCAGTTGGCCCCCTGATTGGCAAGTACTGTGGGGCCAAAATACCCTCTGAACTTCGTTCATCGACGGGGATCCTCTCCCTGACCTTTCACACGGACATGGCGGTGGCCAGGGATGGCTTCTCTGCGCGTTACTACCTGGTCCATCAAGAGCCACTAGAGAGTGAGTTGGCCGGTTGGGAACCTCTGTCCTGTCCTTCCATCAGGGCTGTGAGGGTGCACAGGTGAAGAGAGGATGACCTCTATGAGAGAGGAGGTGGGAACTTTACAGTAGAGCTTATGGTGGCATCCGAGGTAGAGGTGCACATATCCTCTTGCCAGGAAGAGGTTGATGAGAAAAGAACACATGTCAATCTGGGTGCTTATTTCTTTAAAATATGTGTGTGTGTGTGTGTGTGTGTGTGTGTGTGTGTGTGTGTGTACCAAGAATTAGTTATTTTCAAGGAAAGTCATGGGACCATGAAAGAGAGGTTAGTTAGGGTGATCTACACAGGGTCCCTCCTGTGTTAGCTTTTTTTCAGTCTCTGGCCATTTTTTCCCTCTCAAAATATCAGGGGGCACTGTCACAAAACTGAACCATTTTTTACATTAACCACCTCTGCGGCTGGGTAATGTTTTCCTGGTGAGATTGGTACAACTGCTTGGACCTGGACTTCACACTTCCACCAAAGATAGTTTGTGGAGCTGCTACCATGTGCCAGCCACTAAGCAAGGAATTAAAAACTCCGATTGCAGCTGCTGTGGGACTTGCAGTCTAAGCCATCAATCCCTCAGCACTAACATCTTTAAACCAGTGGCTCTTGGACATGTGTTTCAAATGTGCTGCCATTTCTACTTAGAAACCCAAACGATAACTTTTTTTTTTGAAATGGACTCTCTCTCTTTCGCCCAGGCTGGAGTGCAGTGGCGCGAACTCGGCTCACTGCACTCGCTACCTCCCAGGTTTAAGCAATTCTTGTGTCTCAGTCTCCCAAGTAGCTGGAGCTACAGGCATGCACCACCATGCTTGGCTAATTTTTGTATTTTTAGCAGAGGTGGGGTTTTGCCACGTTGGGCAAGCTGGTCTCAAACTCCTGACCTCAAATGATCTGACTGCCTCAGCCTCCCCAAATCCTGGGGTTATAGGTGTGAGCCACCATGCCCAGCCCCAAATGATAACTTTAAAGATTAAAGAAGCAGTTTTAAAAATGATTTGAGCTGTGGAAATCCTGCCCTGATTACAGACAATTCACCGTATATAGAACTACAGACACAACAGCCTGGCCTGCAGGAAGGTTGCTGAGTTTTGCATTTGCATTTTCATCAAAGAGCTTCTGAAGATTGAGTGACAAAGAAACAGTATGGCAAATTGCACCAGGTCCTGTGAATGGCTAGTGCAGTCACAGAGTAATGAATAGATTGATACCTGGCTGAGAGAGGTGGCTCACACGTGTAATCCCAGCATTTTGGGAGGCTGAGGCGGACAGATCACCTGAGGTCAGGAGTTCGAGACCAGCCTGACCAACATGGTGAAACCCCATCTCTACTAAAAATGCAAAAATTAGCCAGGCATAGTGGTGGGTGCCTATAATCTCAGCTACTCGGGAGGCTGAGGCAAGAGAATCGCTTGAACCCAGGAGGTGGAGGTTGCAGTGAGCCAAGTTCACGCCATTGCACTGCAGCCTGGGCAACAGAGCAAAACTGTCTCAAAAAAAAAAAAAAAAAAAAAGAATAGGTTGATACCTGATAAGGACTGCTGGCACATCTTAGACACATGGACACACACATATTCATCAGTGTTCATGGCATTCATGGAAGGACAGCAATGCGGCTGACAGCACAAGGCCAGAGTAAGCGACTTCCGGGTCTATTTGTCCAGACAGGTGGTGCAGGGGGATAGAGAGTGACATGCATGTGCTCATGGAGAGCTCTCCCAAAGACAGGTATTTATGCTTTGTAATGTCTGTCTTCTGTGCCAGAACTCACAAGACAGCTGAGTGAAAAAGGAAGCAAAAGTGCCTCCTGGGTGTTTATTAATAAAGCAGGCTTCCCACGATGTATCACCCAAATCGCCACGAGTCTTATCTCACATTTACCTGTATTGCAGTAATGGTGCATCTGGCATCTGTAGCCTGCAGCAGTAACAGTTCTTGTGCTTTAGATTGTGTTTTTAATTTGTATGAAGATTCTCTTATTTACTCTTAGCCTGATTTCTTTTAGGTCCAATTTAGTTTCTTTCAGACCCAGAGGGGTTGTCAAGCTTCATGACTTGGTGTAGTTGTTTTAAAATGTGAGCATATAATTAGGGTCTGTTAAATAAGGAAGTGCCTGCAAGGACTTGTCCTTAGAAAGGAGGCAGCATCTGGGGGACCCCAGGATATTGGGTTGGAAGGCCTAACTCTGCATTTGGCCATCTCCTTTCCTCAGACTTTCAGTGCAATGTCCCTCTGGGCATGGAGTCTGGCCGGATTGCTAATGAACAGATCAGTGCCTCATCTACCTACTCTGATGGGAGGTGGACCCCTCAACAAAGCCGGCTCCATGGTAATGACAATGGCTGGACCCCCAACTTGGATTCCAACAAGGAGTATCTCCAGGTACTTGAGCAGATAACACAGAATGTGCAGAGTGTGTATGTATTGCTGGGGCAGGAGGTAGCTCCTCAAATACAGTGGACAGAGGACACAAAGAAAATAAACACAGCGTACTTGAGAACTCCATTCATTCATTCATTCATTCATCCAAATAGATGTGTATGCCAAGCACTGGGTTACATGCTGGCATTGATGAGAGGGAGCCTGCCCCTGCCCTTGTAGAGATTACTGGGCCTGGGAGAAGTTGTTTGGCCAGGATGCTGTTTGCCCTATCACTATAGATATCCAAAGAACGTTTCATAAGCAGTTCAGAGCATCCTCATTCTTGGCACAGGGAGGCATCAGAGACATGGGGGGCATTCTCCTAAGGGCAGGTTTGTTGAGGTGCTAGCTGCACATGACAGCTTCTCATGATCTTTGCTATTTGGAGAGAGCCCTGCCAGGAAGGTTTTGCACAGAGCTATCAGAAGAACACATGGGAAAATGTCACTACCAGGAATGGAACTCAAGGCGCCCAGATGCTCAGCAGCATCTCTTTAGACCACTGTTTTCTTTATTCTGAATGAAACTCACAGCTCATGTTGAATAATCTTCCCATACTGCACACTTCTCCAATTCTCATCCCCTGGGAAGAAGTAAACAGGGCAAAGCAAGCTACTAGTTCCACACTAGAGCAGTGACTGCTTTTATGACACACGTAAGACAGCCTTGTGACCCACTGACAAGCCTGTCCTAGCTCTGATGTGACATGGTGACCTCTGCTCTAAGAAGGATGTTGCAAAGCAGACAACAGGAAAGGGAGAGAGACCACTTAGAAACTCTAGAGAGTCCACAAAGGTTCTAACAGCAAGCACTGGGGCCATTTGTCACTGTCTCTCCTCGATGCCTCTCCAAAAATCTGTCTCCCCTCAGCCTGCAAAGCTTCCAGAAAGTTCTTTATAATTGGCATCCCATATCTTTGACCTTAATCATATACTTTCTCCTGTTGCCATCCACCTGTTCTCATACGTGTAGACAGCACTGTTTACTGACTTGAATGTTCAGTAATGCTGAGCACATTGTAGGTCACCAATAAGGGCTTACAGAATTGAATTTAGCCAGTGTGTGCTAGCTACATTTTGGTCACATGGAGATTACCATTAAGAAACACCATGGCCAGCAAAAGAATGACATCCAGCAATTTCCAAATGGGTTTGGCATTGTGGGAGCAGAAGTACCTTAAAATGTTGGTCATCCTCCTCATAGAGCAAAAGGTCAGGCCTTGGTGCATAAGCCTAATTGCTTGGGCAGACTCTACATGCCCTTTGACCCCTTAGTGACCTGAGCAACTAAATACACAATGGAGCGAGGGGGTGTGGGGAGGGGATGCCGCTATGAGTATGACTTTTGCAACTAGGGCATTATATGTGAATTGGATTGTATTGGACAGGAGTGGAGGGGAGTAGATTCAGCCTTGTTTCTTTAAAGCAGCATCTGTTTTCACTGTCCAAAACAGGCCATCGTTCAGTAAGAAGGGATTATAGTACTAGATGTTCAATGGTTAAGAAAAACTGAGTACTGTCAATTCATATCTGCAAAAGAGAGGTCAAAGACAATCTAACTTTTCAAGGAGTCTGATTTAGTGTCAGATAATGTGAGTTTAATTGTCCAGTGGAATTGCAAACTGATACTAATTACAAGTATGTCTCAGTGAATCACAGATATAGGTTGGGAGTAAAGTCTAATGATGGTGTCCTTTAGAAATAAAACGAGACACTGCCCTGTGTTGGGAATGGTGGTCTCTTACTCCTGCCCTCTCTTCCCCAGGTGGACCTGCGCTTTTTAACCATGCTCACGGCCATTGCAACACAGGGAGCGATTTCCAGGGAAACAAAGAATGGCTACTATGTCAAATCCTACAAGCTGGAAGTCAGCACCAATGGTGAGGACTGGATGGTGTACCGGCATGGCAAAAACCACAAGGTAAATCCATGATCCTACCTTAAAGGCACATTGAACCAGGGCTGTAGGGATGGGATCAGGAGAGCTTTAAAGCAACCCCCTACAGGAGAGAAGGCCTTGTGTAGTGAGGCTCAGATAATTAATGGAAGCAAGGGTCGCGCTGGCCCTGAAAATCTCTCTTAGGCTAAAGCAATTGGAAAACACCATTTCTCTGACAGCCTGGTTTCTGTTGCATCTTGCACAGCAGAGAGAGAGAGCTTGCAGAGTGTTCTCTGACTTCAAATGAAGGAGAAAATGTATCCCCAGTCCGCTTCTCCCCGCACAGGATTCACTGAACATTTATGGCCTGAGTCCCTTCCACATGCTGGCTTAACAATCACAAAACCACATGATACTACAGTTCAGGAGTTACCGAGCTCTGGAAATAAAAGGGCACAAATCCTGAGAGGGAATCACAATGTCCCGGAGAAGAAAGAGGACAATAAGTAATGAGAAATTCAGTTTGTTGGGGATGGGCTCTGAAATGGCAATCATGCTTAGTGGTGAGGCATTGAATTCTCTCTGCTGGTGCCTCCCGCGTCTGCAGCGCCTGGAGGTGTGGTCTGTGTGGGTGATGCGGGGCTTTTGTTGTATACATATGGATGAATGTCTGGCACTCCACTTTCTTAAGACACATGACATTCTGGGTCTGCAGCTGGCACGGGCGATGTGCTGGCTATATGTGTATATACACAGCACACTCAGCACATGGGGGCTTATTGCAAACAGCCAGGGCCTTGTGAGAGTGGGATTGGGATGTCTGTGATGGGAGCACAGGGCACGGTGCTCCCTGCAGATTAGGAGCTGGTGCAGAGGTCTGGAAGGAGAGCGTGATGTCCAGGGGATTCCCAGAGGCTGATTCTCCTTCCCTAAAAGGGAGGTGGGGAGGCAGGAAGAGGGTCTCTCCTGCAGCGTTACAGTTCCACCAGGCCCTGGTCTGCCAGGGTGTGATTTATCAAAATGGGGCACATGTGGCCAAGCCTGGGGAGGCCACAGATCTTTTCCATAGAGAATCTTCCTTGGCTTCTGTCACTGCCCCAAGGCAGCTTGCTCTGGCTGGTGCAGCTGGAAACCTGAGACCCAGAAAATCCTGATCTATAATGTTGACAGTTTCACTTGGGAAATGGGGAAAGGAGTAGATTTTTTTTTTTTTTAATTGAAATCGCCATAGTAATGGGGTACCACTCATCTGAAAACCATGGCTTCTGGATATTACCAGGTATCTCACACACACGCATACAACTGCCCAATTTCCCCGATAAAGAAAGTGAGGTACTTAGCAAGTAAAAGATGTGCTGGGCCAGGTCTGGTTTCCCACTGACTTGGTTTCAGGAAGACTTGCCAAGTGTCAGTTGAGAATGGCCAGCCTGAATTGGCACTGGGTGCCAGGAGCTTGGGGGCTGAAACTTGGTTCCACCCCACCCTTTTCATTTATAAGCTGATCTCGGAAGCTCAGCTAGAAGATGAGGGCCGGAAGCCGGGCAGGAGTGGTCCCTGGGGAGAGGCGCAAGGCTCACCTGATAGTCTCCCAGTCCAGGCGGAATGACTAAGCAGCCAGGCCGGAGGGATACTGTAGCATAAGCTGTTTTAAAAGCATGCAGATGGACCAGGATGCTATTTAAAACATCATTTGTAGGAAATCTGCTTTTGGAAAGACCTTAGCACTGCACATTTTCATAAAATGCTGTCCTCCCTGGCTTTATCCCTGGTATTCATTCTTCAGGGAAGATATTCCGGAAGATTGAATTTAGCTTTGTGGTCTTCAGAATTATTTTTCTCAGCTTTTTCATAGTGGATACATTCTCTGTCTTTTGCCTCCTCTTTCCCCACTTGGCTAGATTTCTTTCCCCAAGAGCCAAGGGGTAACTTGAGAGTTTTTTTGTTTTTGTTTTTGTTTTATTGAATTAGTCCTGCCCAAATAAACGGAGTTGGGGCAGAGGAAAGGCCTTTTCTCTTCCCCTTTAGAAATTCATCCTCTGTGTACTTAGAAGGAGGCAGGAAAATGGAGAGCCTGCCAATTAGGCATTGCCCCACTCTCCGAGCTCCCTCGCCCCACTGCGGGTGTGGTGGGTGCCCAGGGGGCTTTCCTTGTCTCTCCTGCAAGGATGGTCTCAGCTGCCCCTTCGTTAGCAATCTCTCGCTCAGGTATCTGTATTTAATGTGCAGATTCCGCCCCATTCACGGTGCGTCAGTGCAGCTCTCTGGGCTGTTGAGGTTGAAATAGTTGAGTGAACTGTGCCAAATAGATTTGTCAAGTCTGCCGCAGTTTGATTTGATGCCATGGGGGGAGGCGAGGGGTGGGGAGGGGACTCGGGGGCAGCGGAGGAAGAGGCTTCATCCACGCCGAGTGCCACCACTGAGTTTCTTTGTAGCCGCTGGATGGTGGGCACTGTGCCAAGCTAACTGGTGCTAAGTGGTGGGCTTGAAAGTGAAATTCAGACAACAGGATTTAGCAGAAAAGCAAAGCAGAGATGAAGGCAGCCGCCTGCTCTGCTGGGCAGTGAAGAGGGAAGGTTTGCAAATGCCTTTCCAGTGTGCAGGGAGGGAAGAAGGGATTGTGACATTTGGGACGGAAATGTGGGAACTCGATTTCAACTCCCTGGTCACTGTCAACACCAATGCAGCACATCAAAGACCGGGGAATTCGGGAAGTCAGAGAAAAACAAGATTAATGAGCGTTCAAGGTAGTGGGGGATGGCTACACGATGTCTTGGCAAAAGACTGTTTACAGCGTGGACCCACGCTGGGCTGGGGCAAGGCCTAGGCCTCTGAAAGAATGCCTTCCTTCTTGCTGCCAGGGAGTGGGGAAGACTAAGGAACTCTTTTCCAGCCTCCCCTAGTCCGGGAGCAGCCTTTTCTTGGTCTCTTCCCATCTAACAGGTTATCATGAAGTTGCCTCTGAGAAAGTGGCCAGTCACACTGTTGCTGGGGCGCTGCAAGTCTCCTGGCAAAATGCAGCCTGGTTACACAGCCCACATGCACAGCACATCCCAAATTTTTATCCAATTCCACATGCCATAAATATGGAACCTATGATTCTCACATAGGGTGGGCCTGCCTGATGTATATTTATGGCATAACCACAAGGCAGAGAGCTCATCTGCCTGATGGAACCCATATCCAACCCACGTGCTCCCTTAGATTATACAAATTGCTTTGCATACATTTCTTCAGAAACCACAAGCAGAAACTACTGCTTTTGGTTTCCCCAGCTATGTTAGTAACACGGCAGATGTAGACATGGCATTGTTAATATAACAGTAGAAGTTTCGTGTATGTGTACATAATTACAGGCACAATTATGTACATACATACCAAGAGGGGCACATGGAGAGCGATGGGAAGAGCTCAGAAGCAAAAGATCGTGGTCAAGGTCCTGCTCTCCTGAGAGGCTGGTTCCATGAGTCTGACCTGGGGGATAGACTGTGCCTGAGGAATGGAACCACAGCTGGTGACAGGACAGGGAAGAGAGAATATTGCCCTTATTTGTCTAGGCAAAATCCCTTATCTTCAGTTCCCCCTCATTTGGGACACACTGGCATCTCCCTTGTTGACCTAGCTCTGGTACTTAGTCACAGTGTTTGTGGGCTATTCTGATGTATTTGGGGGAAATATGGGCTAAAAGAGAAAGTCTGTGGGGTGTCAAATACATGCAATTGGCCAGACTGAGGCTGGATGGGTGAAGATAGAGATGAGGTAGGACTTGGGTCCAAGAGTTTTCAGAATTACCCCATGAGGAGTGGAAGGAATGCAATGAGCTCATCACATTAATGTAAGGATGACCTCCAAGGGACTCAGAAAATCCTCAGGCACCAGCTTAATCACTAGAGAGTTTCACAGTGTTTCACAACTGTGGAATTGGAGCTCTGAGACACTAAGTGCCTTGCTGCAGGGACTGGGAAGCTGTGGAGCCTCCATGGATGGTGCCTGGTCACCAGACCTGGATGTCTAGGCTGGTGCTCTCCACAATCTGACCTAGGCCTTACTCTTCACCTTGCATCCAGAGGGAAATTGGCTTCCTAAATGTTCAGTCTAAGGGCTGAGAGGTGCCCATTGTCCTGGAGAGCCTCCCCTCCAGTGAAGTTCTGCATGTAGCATGAGCTCGTACACGGCTTAACCCACTAGGCTCATTGTTGTGGAGCTGGGCCCCACCGCAGAATCATGAGGATGGAGAGTTGAAAGGAGTTGCCATTTGTTTGATTTGGCCACATCCCTTCAAAACAAACAAACACTCCACTTCAAAAATCCCCTGTCCTGTATTTATTTTCTAAATTAAAACAAATCATTTTTAAATCAGAGAGACTTGGGAGAAGAGAAAGAGTGGCGTCAGAAAACCAAACCCCCAAATCAGTTGGCTAACAGCTAGAAGCATGTGACATCTATTTTCAGACCTTCTTAAAACAGGGCGCTGAGTGACCTTGGAAATGTCTCTTAGTGGCTCCACGCCTCAGTGTTTCCACCCAGTCCAAATGGAATGGCGCAGCAGCTGCTACCGGCAACGAACCTTGAGATCTGTAGATGGAAGGCTCTCCACGGATATAATTAATGTATAGACCCACAAAGCTCTTCTTGAGTAGAAGCAAGTTATCAATTTAGAAAGTAAGAAGGCCCCATGGGATATTTATGGGCCTCTTTTAAAATCATAGGCCTAGAATGGACCACGATAAGTCATCCAGACCTCTCCCTGGATCTGATGGAGCCTGCGTTCAGCTGCCTCAGATAAATGTTATCTTTCCTAGCCTCATTGTTCTGTTAGGGGTGCAGTTATGGCTCCACTTGATCATCTGAATTTTCAAAAAAAAAAATTTTTTTTTAAACCTCCTGGCAGATGATGAGCTTCCCCTTATTCCTTTTGTGGTAGTAATTTTGTTTGTTGTATGTGAGCTTAGGACAGTGCCTCCCACTGTAATGGACACCAGCCTTCAGAAGTCATGGATAGAACAGCATCATCTAACCATGGTTGTGTGTGCTCTGAGGGGGGC